AAACACTTCATATTGGTGATGTTTTGTCAAATTATATTTCCTTAAATATGAAGGTTTTCTAATATACTTTTGCCTATTTGCAGAAAAACAAAAGGGGGGGGAAAATGTACTTATTGTTATTTAATATAATTATGTTTTGATTGTACCATTCCAGGCCAAGAAAGTGAACAATTATAAGCTGGTGAAAAAAAAAAACAAGAGCTGCAACAACGCATGTAAAGCCAATACAAGGTCAGTACAGAACCTGAACTGCTGCTGTGAGTTGTTGTTAATACAGTATGCTCACCTGTAAGATCCAAACATGACTTTCTCTCCATCCACCAACATGTATTTAGAGCTCAGAGAGCCGGGCAGTTTGCCAAAGGACAGCGTCAGTCCCGCACCTCTCACCGGTGGTTTTTTTTTTTTTTTTTTTTTTTTTTTTTTTTTTAGGGATTTGATGGTATCCGTCAAACTCAAGGCTCGCAGGCCAAATGCGGCACGCCAAGTCACTTTGTGTGGCCCGCGGGAGATTAAAGAGCATTTAATAAAGTCCATGCGGCAGCGTTTCTTAACTTAATAATTTTTTTTTCGGTAATTTACACAGCAATGAACAATATTTGTAAGTTGAATAAATAATAATCAATTGCAGAAAAAAATTATTAATACGTTATGGAGTAGTTACAGCTATACACTTAAGGGGACCTGTATATGTGAAAATTGAATTTGACGCACATGGTTCATATCATAAGGGTCAAACTCAAGGCCCGTGGGCCAAATGTGGGCCCCCCCCAAGTCATTTCATGTGGCCTGCGAGAGCTTAAAAAATGTTTTTTTGCCTTATAATAAAGTCCTTGCTGCTGAGTTTCATGACTTATTCGACAGGTTGTTTTTTTTTATTACACAGAGCAGTGTACTAAAATTAGCAACTAATATAATAATATAAATAATAATCAATTGCAGAAAAATGTAGTAATGTGTTGCGGAGTAGTTAATACAGCTTTCCAGTTGAGGGGAACTGAATTGAAAATGATTTTGACAACCCTGGTTTTCGATGCTTAGGACATAGTGATGGTAGATACTCAAGGCTGACGTAGTATGAAGGACATGATGATGATGATGATGGTTGGTCAATGCCATAGTGTGAGTGCAATGCAAATGATCTACTGTGGCGAACCTTGAAAGGAGAAATGACAAGGCACACCAATTTCTGGTCAGGATTTCTGCGTGCTGAATAAATTCCATAAAATAAAAAAACAAAGAGCCAGGAACTGCTTGTCAGGGAAGAATTCAGCTTTAGGAACACATTCTACATAAAAAAAAAAAATTAATTTCTGCTCAAATATTTTACAATAGCTGATTCTTTTTTTTTTAAACAGGAATAATAGCAAGCCTTTTACAGAACACGATGTCAGTTGTATGAAGCGTGATTGCATTTACAAGGGAAATGGAAAATGGAATAATTCTATTGGTTTTTACTAAAATTACAACTTTATTATTGTAAATTAAGGACTTAAATCTTCTCGATGTTTTGAATTCTTTCTCATACAAGAACTTTTTTTTTTCTTGTGACCTTTTGACCATATTCTCAAAAATGATCTGTATTTATTTTATTTTCAACATGGCCCTAATACTCCATTGCATGATTGAAAGCCTAGAATTGTAGGAAAATGATCTGTATTTATTTTATTTTCAACATAATACTCCATTACATGATTGAAATCTCTAGAATTGTAGGAAAGTGTTTACCGCTCTCCACCACATGTTTTAAAGTCAAGGCCTGCAGGCCAAACTTAGTCGTGGCTTAGTTGTTTTTTTTTTGCGGCCCGCAGGAGCTTGAAAAACGTTTGCCTTATAATAAAGTCCATGCTGCTGGATTTGGCCTCATTTTACAGAGGTTTTACAAACACGCAAAGCTACTTTCCACGGTAGCTTAGCATTTCTAAGCTACTCTATTCGACGAGAAGGGATGGATGGATGGATGGAATTTGGAAACGTTTGGCGGGCCGGATTAAAAAGCTAAATGGGTCGCGTCCGGCTCCTGGGCCTTAGTTTGCCCGTGCCTGCTCTAAACCTTTTCACATGACTGATAAATAATTTCACCTAATAACAGTAACAAAGCCTCGTGTTTTGAAAAAGCCTTTCATGTGACATTATTAACTGACACAGCTGCAGACAGATTCACCCGGCAGTCCATTAAAAACTACACTGCAGATAAGATAAGGTGTTATTTTCCGGGTAGGAGAAAGGATAAGTAAATGTCTGTTTGTTTTTTTTTCTTTCATTAAGAATTCTCGACAGCTGCCATATCTAACCTAAAAACACAAATATAAACTGTGGAGTGTAGCTGTAAATAAGTCTATGTTCTGGAAAATAGATCTCTGGGAGTCTTGGACTTTGACCTTATCACCGTCTGAAACCCATGACCAAAAGAAATCTACTGACCTCAGTGTCACCGCAACTGTTCACGTCAGCAATCAAACATTGACCCACTTGGCTTGGTTTTCCTTTTGACATCCTGTTTTTTTTTCTTTTTTTTAAACGGCTCCCTGTCCTATGTGCAAGCTAGTCTCCGCCTTTCTTGGAACCTTGCTGAGGTTAATCCTCACCCGCAGATGCATTGCGTTGATCTGCAGTCGAGCGCACATGTCCAGGAAGTGGGGCACTCCTCTCGCCTCGAGCACGGCGTAGACGGCCACGCCACGTCTTGATGAGGCATCCAGCAGATCCTGCAGGATCTGAAGGTCCGTTAGGAGGTCCATGACTATTGCTATAACCTGGGGGGGGGAAGGTAATAGAGGGGTAGCATAGTAAGAAACTGATTTACAACAAGACAAGACGTAAAAACACATTTTGACTTAGCTTTTTATTATTACTGGCATAGTGCCAAAAAAAAAAAAAAACAACCAATAAGCACAAAGTTATACTTTTCCATTTTTCCAAAATATATCTAAACTTGGTAGCTAGGTTAACATGTGAAGTATATGTTCAGGCTTCTTTGTGTTTTAAAAACAAACAAACATTCAACCCTTAAAGATATACACTGGGTCCTCAACTTGTGTCGGAGTTCCGTTCCTACGGTGCGATGTAACTCGATTTTTTTTTTTTGGCCAAAATTTTTAGAACGCACATACCAGAGGTGTGGACTCGAGTCGCATGACTTGGACTCGAGTCCGACTCGAGCCATCAATTTGATGACTTTAGACTCGACTTGAGAAAATGTAAAGAGACTTGCAACTCCACTTGGACTTTAACATCAACGACTCGTGACTTCACTTGGACTCGAGCCCCTTTGACGCGACAAGACTTAATACTTTTTTTTACTTTTTTTGTTTAAAAGGACTAGAAAGGACTCGAAAACAGAAACAGCAGGACTTCTGACTTCATTTGACACTTTTCAGTCTTGACTTGAGACTCGACTCGGACTTTGCCTGTCTTGACTTGAGACTTGACTCGGACTTGAGTGCAAAGACTTGAGACTTACTTGTGACTTGCAGAGCAATGACTTGGTCCCACCTCTGGCACATACTGTACATAAGTATCTATGTCACTCACCTATGGTTTGGGAGCCATAATAAGTTGCAAAAAAAAACTTGCACACTAGTGGATACATTTTAATACCGAATGTGAGACTGGAGAAAAATAGACAGAAAATGTGTATATATATGTATATATATGTGTATATATATATGTATATATATATGTGTGTATATATATATATATATATATATACATATATGTATATATATATATATATATATATACACACATATATATATACATATATATATACACATATATATACATATATATACACATATATATATACACATATATATATACATATATATATATGTATATATATATTTTAAGACATTGGGCATTTTTGGCAACGTTTTCTGCACATATATGAAATGAAAGTATGAACATATGATATGAACGTTTTCCTTTATGGTCTTTGTGTAATTTATGACATCATCTTTAACCCCATTCTTTACAGTACTGTGAAAGTGCAATGTCTATTACATAACAAAACTAAAAAAAAAAAAAAAATCCGGTCACATGGGATCAGTCCATAGTGCAGTATGTTTTCAAACTACGCTGTACTTGTGTGTGTGTGTATTTGACGTGATGACTGTGCAGCGTGCTGCTTTATATCCGCCCTGATTTGATCTGTGTTTGGACAGGAATCATGTGAGGACGGGCCTGTTCTTTTTAATTGCAGGTGCGGTTTTGAAAGTTTGGACAACAGCGTCCAAACAAGTTTCTCTGGCAGCTACTTGTAGCGTAACAGGAGAAGGCTAGTGGCCTCCACAAAACAGAGGGCGTTTGTTTGCGCTTGCGTTTATTATCCAGGTGATTTGTATACTTGGAGGCTTGGAAAAGATGCCTGTGATTCTTGGAGACTTTTCAACCCTCGCCTAAGGACTTTAGTAGATTTGTAGAATTCAAAAAAAGATTAAACTTAAAAAAGAAGCCTCTCTGGATTTGAAAGTAGTTTTTTTTAACTAAAGGATAGTACTAAGCACAGGTGGGACCAAGTCCTTGCTTTGCAAGTCATAAGGAAGACTCAAGTCTTTGCACTCAAGTCCGAGTCGAGTCCCAAGTCAAGACTAAAAAGTGTCAAGTCAAGTCCCAAGTCCTTACGTTTCTGTTTCGAGTCCTTTTAAACAAAATAATAATATATGTACACAGATCACTTTGGGTTTTGGAGAAAGTATCGAGTCTTGTCGGGTCAAGGGGCTCGAGTCCGAGTGAAGTCACGAGTCATTGATGTTAAAGTCCAAGTCGAGTTGCAAGTCTCTTTACATTTTGTCAAGTCGAGTCGAAAGTCATCAAATTGCTGACTCGAAAACATACGTCGAAAGTCATCAAATTGATGACTCGAAAACATACATAAGTTGCTTTGGAGTATAAGTCGCACCAGCCAGCTAGAGCGCCCTCTAGGGGCTGTCAATGTGAAAATAACAAACATGTAATTTCTCAATGATACAGGAGTAGCAGTTACTAGAGGGACTAGTAACAAAACTAGAGGGCTACAAAACTAGAGGGCCCTCTAGTGGCTGTCAGTGTGAAAATAACAAAAGTGCAAATTTTCAGTGGTACAGGAGCGAATAATACTTCCTTAAAACCTTTCTAATGGGTTCACTGTTAAGGCTGCAAATCTACTAGATAATTTCCAAACAAAAGTCCAGAAAAATAATTTATGGGGTAAGTTTTAAGTTTTATGGGGACATTTTTCATCCAAGGGTTTTGATTGGTTCTGACTGACTAGCGGAAAAGTTCATGCACTTTACTGATAATATCTAATATTATAATTTTGTGTGCAGTGGTGTGCTGGGCCACAATGACAAGTCGTTCACTTTCAACAAACAAACAACCAATCCCAGCATCTGGAACCAATCTCAGGATATTATTTCAAAATTGGACAAACTGGAACCCGAACCTAGATATCGTTTTTTTTTTTATTTAAACACAAGGCTTTTAGCCAAACCACTATATTAGCATTTGAATCCCTTTACTTTTATAAAAAAAAAAACTACTCTCAAATCACAATTCTTTTGAATCCCTTTACTTTTATAAAAAAAATAACTACTTTCAAATCACAATTCTTTCTGCGTGAGTGTGTGTGAGTGTGTGTGTGTTGTGACATATATATAAAGTTGTCAGCAGTTTTCCAGCAGGGAATGATTTACTTCACCTGAAAGAAAAAGCAGACGCGGCAGGACTTTCTGTTGAGAACTGTCAGGGCTTCTGTAACTGAAGATAAGAAGGTGTAATTTACCTCTTATCTTAACGTTCAAATTATTTAGCCATAAAACATGGCTCAATGACCTCAAAGAGTCTAGCAGTCACTCACTGCTGGCGGTGCTTTTCATTTGATACGTATTTCAAAATTTTGAAGTGCTGTTTGAAAGGATTACTGCAACTACCTTTTTTTAAAAATGTGATTTATTATATGTTCTGTATTTTTTAATTTTTTATGTAATATATTTAATATATTACAAACGTTATACAAACTTTATATATTATAAACTTTTTTTTTTATTTACTTCTGCTTACTTTGCTCTTTGACTATTATGTTGAAAAATCACATTTGCTGTTGATTATGTGCAACAAGTGCGACAATCACTCCTGAGTCACATCGCACTTATATAACATATAACATGTGTTATACAACATATAACATATGTTGTGTATTTTAGCATTTAGTTATTTTTGCATCTATTTATTTAATGTTTTGATAAAACCTATTCTAATAGATGGGTACTGTAAAACCTTCACAGCTAACTACTTAGCTAGCTTAGCTTACCCTTTAGTTTTTTTTAACCATTTTAGACAATAGAATTTCACATTTTGACTTTTTTCTATAGATAACAATATTTCTCAAACCTTTAAGTTTGTATGAGATCATCTTTTTTGACATAAATCACTAAAGTAATCTATCCAAATAAATATCCAACGGTATGTACGGACTGCATTTTTGCAGATTTAACATGAGCAAATATTCCATATTATATAATGTATTGTCAAACCTTATGAAAATAAATTCTAGTTTAGTTTTAATAAAAGCTTTTTTTTTGTTCATTGATGTATGAAGCGCACCAAAACATGTGTTATTTTCCTCTCCAAATCCTATTTTAATTGGATGCGTACATTTGATTTGATCAGATTTTTTTGTATGAAATCTCTATTTTAAAAAACGTAACCCTGTCAATTTTCTGATTTAGGGAGAGAAAAAAAAAAATAGCATTACCCCGTAGCTCAAACGTGAAATGATCAATTCTGACCCCAGTTAAAGACTCTCCTCCATCTTATCTGACAGGTATACTCACATCTGGTGCTAAAATCTGATGGATTACCCATTAAATGCACCCCGTTTCTGTGCAGGCCTGCCTGGTCAACTAATCACTGGAAACGTCAGCAGTAAAAACCAGGCTAGAAATAACAAAACTTTGAGCTATGAGGCTGAAGGATAAAAGTGGAGGGGGCGAACAAGTTCTGACACGCCGTTGACATTTAAAAAGAAGCAACGTCTAAGCCACGTTGCTCAGCCTGTACAAACAAAGTCTGGCCCTAAATAAATCTAAAGAAATATTGCAATTTTTTATTTTTTTTGGTATGAAATGGTGTACAAATATAGTTCTATACAGTTTTTAAATGAAATCAGGATTGTTTTTTTTTATACTGGAATATTGAGCATGAAATCTGAGCTATTAAAACTCCACGTCAAAATAAGGCAAACTTCTCACTCTTTATACACATTAGACATTTTCCTAATTGTATTTCAACTGTATTCAAAGGTTTTGAATCGACATCTTTAGGTATTACTGAATATACTGTGGGTTAGTTTAAAAAAAAAAGAAATTAAAACCATATTTGAAAAAAAAAAAATTATAAAAGTGCTACTGATAATATTACCAATTCTGAGACACCTCAAGGCTGTAGCAGTTAATCTACCTCCTGCCAGCTTTTATCAGCACTTGTCTTCTAAATGAGATCATATTTTACAGTACCTACTATTATATTTTACCTGCAAGATCTCGCTGGCTAAACCATCTTAGCTTAGTAAATCAAGAAGCATACATTCTAATGACTTTAATATATATATGCATTGTAAAAAGAATAGCACAGCAGTCTCCTAAGAAGACCTCATATTTTAAGGAAGTACGAATTGTACTTGACACCAATCATCGGAATGTACGTTGACCCACATACACCTGCCTTCCTCAATCAAGCAGCGTCACTGTTTTCATAGCGCAGGAACCCGCTTCCTTTGTAAAGTATACGTTTCCACTTTCGCTGAAATGGGAGGTTTAGTATCACTGAATCATTCAAGGAGATTCCGCAGCCCTTGGCAGATCACATTAGGGAGATTATTTTGTAAATATAGTGGTTTAACACTGTATTGCCAAATGTCATGATGTAATGATTCCGTTACTTTGCTGTCATGATAGGCTGCGTAGATTGCAGCGATAGCAGCCCGGATTCAGACTTGCTTCTCAAGCCATTTAAACATATTTGCATTGTTTCATTTGTCCGACTATTGAATTCCTGAGATCCAAACAACAAAGAAAAAAAGTTTTGATCCAGTGATGAGTCAAGAGATTATCTACGGTCACACTCTTGCGTCTTTTCCCCCTTAATATGTAAAAAACCAAACAACCATCCCCCATAACCAAAGTTCAAATATATTACCAACCTGACCGTGTGACTGTAAACTGTAGCGCATTTACTGGCCAGTAAAATGACTGTACATCCACGCGATTCAATCAAACGTCTCCAGACGCTTCCATGTTCCTGGGATAAATGTGGTGCAACATTAGCTAACCCAGTACTTCTCAAATAGTGGGGCACAATGAGATGTCACGGGGGGGGGGGTTTTCACTATACTGTGTTTATT